GTGCTCGTGGTAGGTTGAGGACGAGGATGAAGGGTATTTGTCAGATTTGGATTCATCCTGAAGCCTTAGCGCGGCACGGTGGAAGCCTTGTCTCAGGCCGCCGCTCTGGAGGTTCGTTGCTGTTGATGCAGCAACCACTGTGAACAGACATATAGTCATGAGCTTCTAAGGATTCGGTTTGGGGAGAAATGTGACCAAACCCCATGATGAAATGTCACATTTATATCGTACATTTATGGCCAAAAATATTAGGACTTTGCACTCTGTTTCAAGTAACACTGGGACTTAAACTGTTGCACCTTGTGTCAATCTGTGTGACTGTTGCTTCAGGCACTTTCTCCACCACCTAACGTTATATCATAATCCTTCACTGTAATCTTTTATCAGCTTTTCTCTTGCAGAAAACACCTGGTCCAAGAAAGAACACCAGCACACTGCTACACGCACGGACTATTGCAGCTTTTGGGTCATAGACCTTCTTCACACATACAAGACAAAGCATTTGTACTGTATAGAAAACTTGAATGCAACTGTATAGAGTTTGCAGATTCTCGTATGCGGAAGTTCTGTTTTTACCACAGGATTTGGTCCGCAGATGACATCATGACATTACAATCAGGTGGGCACTTAAATCCTTCAATTATTGCTTATCAAATAAATACATCTATTACCAGTGTATGGTAAAAATAATTACCTTAACAGGATGAGATTATGCATTATAGGAACAAGTGCAACAATGCCAAATCTGGCAGGCCACGTATGTATTTACTAGTGTATTACTTCACAGTGTATCTCAGTGCCAGCAACAAGTACTTGTTGTACTTTCAAAAAGTAACATCCAATATTAGCTAAATATAGCCAGTTTAGGTGAAGCAGACTTTGACAGTTTGCATAACCAGATAGAAGACTCCTAAATATTCAGGGCTGAAAAAAAAAAAACGTAGTACCATCCCAACCAACAATTATACTGCTAATAATTTAGTTTCAAAAGCCACAGCCCATTTATGTCCTTCATTATCACTGCCAGTGACAAGTGACTTTGGCACGGATAGCTAACGTCAAACACTGGCTCGTTTCCACTTCATGCAACACATAACCGAAAAAATGGACATTGGCTACATGAATAATTTCCCAGGCAGTCTCTTACTAACACGAAACAACAACAACAATTCAGCAGTCCCGTCTCACCTCTGCCAAGCCCCCGCAGTGCCCTTCCAGCACGTAGACCTCTCAGCAGCGCCGCCATGTTCAGCTGCACTGCGTTGTAAGTTTCTTTTTGGAACAGCTGCGTCACTTTAGTGCGACTCAATGAAATACATAACATCAAGCTGGCAAGAGACCAAAAAACAGAGATGTCGCCTTCAAACTAAAACGCATGAAAAATACTTTCTATAGGTATAAATGAAAAGAAACAACAATAACAGTGCACCAATTTTGTGACTGAATGAATTAATGTGATTCTTATAATATATAGCCTACTACGTTTCACCTGTTAACGTTACTTTGAATGGGCAAACGTTACAACACATTAGCAATTATTTTATTTTGAAAAAACAAACCGGAAACGCATACTGAAGCTCTCATCAAGCTATCGGTTAGGTAAGTTAGTACATATGATTGACATTTTCATGTATTTCAGTAATTTAACCACAAAATACTTTATAGAACAATCATCCAAAAGTGTAAGTATATTTTGTTAGCGGGTAGCCGTGTACTGGACTTAAAAGCATGCCTTATGATAAGCACCGGCGTTTTCTGCGTCACGCTACTTACGTTACATGACCTATGCTTTTCAGTTCATCTATGTCAACAAACAAGCTAACACGCTAACTAGTAGTTAGCTGGGTTAACCCTTTCAACGTTACATTTTAGAACTAAAGCTGGAATAAACGACCACATTTCTTGACTATGAAGCAACGTTATAGAGGAATGACTTGCCAATAAAACTAACGTTGACGTTCGAGAGAACCTGCCGTTTCCTTTCATTTAATACCATTGTATTTTAAATATTGTAACAGTATTTACAACGGCCTGTCACAATCACGGTTGTATTTAGACCTTCTTATTCCTATTCTTATAATCTATAATGTTATGACGAGACGTTACTGTGCTATCGGTTTGGTTCATTGTGGTGGTTGGATCATTTCCAGTTAACGTACACGTTTTTTCGCTTTTAGATAATCCAGTGACGGACAGAGATATTCAGAAAATCATGGCAGAGCTCGGCATCAGAACAGGCGACAAGGTACTGCTGGTTTGGGCCCAGCCCTCAGCACCAGCAGCCCTGAAGCAGTACGCAGAGGAACTGGGTGGCATTGTTGGTGCTGGCTGCCATGTGTCAGTGGAGAACATGGAGAGATTATTGCTTTGTGAGTGATCCAACACGCTTGCTTTATGAATCAAATAATGTGTTATCACCACAACGTTACAGCACATGCTGTGATGTATCCTGGTAGCATGAACACAAAGTCAGTAGTGAAACGATCCTCTCCCCTCCGCAGCCTCCCACTCAGCGTCCACCTTTGACTGGGTGCTTTCTTGCCTCCTGGCTGACAGCTCCTCCATCCACAGCTCAGAGACTCTGGCTGAAATGGCTCGAGTGCTCAAACCTGGTGGGAAGCTAGTTCTGGATGAAGCAGTTACAGGTGAATGCAAACTTCTTTTACATACATGTAAAAGTCCTCTGATGCCACTATAATGGCAAAGTACACTAGAAATGCAACACAGATATAATCCCCTTAACATATCAAAGTAAAACAAATCAACCTAGGACAGGTGTCTTTATCCACCAGGTCACTGGGCAGCACTGATACGGATGTGACTCTGATTGTGTCACAGTGTGTTTGACTTGTTTCTTTCGGTGTGTCAGGAGCTGAGGCGCAGAGTGTGAAGACTGCAGAGAAGCTGCTGTCAGCTCTGAAGTTGTCAGGCTTCATGTCCGTGACGGAGGTGCTTGAGTGGCTACACACACACACACACACACAAAGAGCGTAAAGACCTAAAACGTAAACATCAGCACCAGAGACATCCCGTTATAAAATGTCTCCCTTTTGACCCATCGAACCTCTTGCTTCATTCCCCATCCAGGTCAGTAAAGCAGAACTGAGTCCCGAGGCATTGAGCTCCCTCAGGACGGCCACTGGTTACCAAGGAAACACTCTGTCTAGAGTCCGCATATCTGCCTCCAAACCTACCTTCGAGGTGGGATCATCCAGCCAGATTAAACTTTCATTCGGGAAAAAGCCAGGTAGGTTTATGAGCAGTTTTCCTGTTTGTTCTGAGCGTTTTCTTTTGTCCACACATGTTAAATTGAAGGAGACCACTCGGAGTCTGTTGGGACATTTGCTCTGGTCTGTCACATGTGATGCCTCTGAAACCACCAGTCAGATTCTGTCCAAACTATAATGTCTCATAATGGTCAAGAACACTCCGTTAGACCACAAAAGGTTAAGAAAAAGCATGATGACCTCTCGAATCACACACATTGTTGGATAAAGGTAAGATGAAATGACAAACCTGGCTCTACAAATGTGTCATTTTCATTAGTTTTTTTTTTTTTATTATTCTGTTGAACCACAATTCAAAAGCAATGTCTGATTTGTATTAGTTAATTTTCAGTACATTTTTATTTATTATTACTTTTGTCAGTTTCAAGTTATGTCAGTGACCATTGTGGGTTTTTCTTTCTTTAACGGAAGGGTACCAACAGTTTTGTCCACGTGTGTATGTGCGTCTTTGTGAAGCAGTATTATAATTTCTGCTCTCTGGGGTTTATAGTTTATAGATCATTTCAATCAACAGGCCTTAAACTTGGTCCACAGCTTCACAAGCACGAGATGCAGGAACTGATAGCGGATGTTATCCCTTATCTATTGTATAACGCTAATCTGTGAATTGCAAATTGATGTGATCTATCACAAAATGAGTCGTTTTATAGGTCAATCAGCGGTGAGCTTAAAGTATTAAAGGTTATTGATTTGAGAGGTCATACCACAGAGTAAGATTTGTGAACAAATATTCAGATTTCTTCAAAAATACTTTTTGTTCTCAGTTTCTTGTCTATTGTCAACATCGGTATGTGTGTTTTTTTATGGTGGTATGTGAGGCAATCACTCAATTTACTTGTGTAAATTGACTTCTGTGGTTCCAGCAGAGAAACCAGCTCTGGATCCCAACGCTGTCAAAATGTGGACACTGTCAGCCAACGACATGGACGATGATGATGTGGTGAGTTGTGGATTCTGTATCATTAAATACAGTGTGGCCAGCTCAAAAGTGGACCGCAGCGCACCACCTGACATTCCACAGTCACACATGTCACGGACAGTGTGTGGGATTTAGTGGCCAAGTTGCAGATTGCAATCAGCCGAGTACTCCTCCTTTTCCAAGACTATGTGAGCGGCCGAGTGCAAAACTATGGTTCCCATCTCTCTGAGGTCATCCATACCATAATATTACTGCTTTAAGAGCATCAGAAGTCAGACGGCAGCTGACTGTATCGCGGTTTTGCACTCTGCCGCATGTTACCGCAGTTTATATACATTGCCGTTCAAAAGTTTGGGGTCACTTAGAAATTCCCTTGTTTTTGAAAGAAAAGCATGTTTTGTCCATTAAAATAACATCAAATTGATCAGAAATATTGTGTAGACAGTTAATGTTGTAAATGACTACTGTAGCTGTAAACAGCTGATTTTGATATTAAATATCTACATAGGCGTACAGAGGTCCTGTCTTCCAATGGTAAATTGTGTTTGCTAGTTGATCATTTCAACAGAATAACCGATCATCAGAAAACCCTTAAAACCGTTGTGCTGGTTAAAGAATCAATACATCTGGCCTTCTTTGGACTAGTTGAGTATTTGGAGCATCAGCAGTTGTGGGTTCCATTACAGGCTCAAAATGGCCAAAAACAAAGAACCAATTTCCAAAGCACAGCTCCAGACTATGTAAGGACTATTTAGCAAAGAAGCAGTCAGCTAGTATTCTGTCTCTCATAGAGCAGCAGTCACCGGATCTCAGCCCTATTGAGTTGTTGTGGGAGCAGCTTGACCGTATGGTACGCAAGAGGTGCCCATCAAGCCAATCCGACTTGTGGAAGGTGCTTCAGGAAGCATGGGGAGAAATCTCTTCAGATTACCTCAACAAATTGACAGCTTGAATGCCACAGGTCTGCAAGGCTGTACATGCTGCACATGGAGGATTATTTGAAAAGTATTATTTAAATTAAAAATCATTATTTCAAACTTTGTCAATGACATTTCTTCCTATTTAAACTCATTTCATGTATGTTTTCAGGGAAAACAACGAAATTTTAACTTTTGGGGTATATATACACTTTTCCAGTGTATATATACTTACACAGTGGTGTATAGTAACGAAGTAGAAATACTTCGTTACTGTACTTAAGTCGTTTTTTTTGTATATCTGTACTTTACTTTACTACTTATATTTCTGTTTACTTTTACTTCACTACATTTTGCAAAGAAAACTGATACTTTTACTCCGATACATTTCCCCTGAAACCTTCGTTTCTCGCTACAAAATCAAATCTATCTTTAGAAACAAAATGAATCATGAGACCAACGTCGGGGACTGTGGTGGAACAGAGACTGCAACAAGCAGGTTTGGCGAATCAGTGGTCCTAGCTTGCAAGTTAAATCATTGGTTAATCACGTTAATGCGCAATTGCAAACAAGTGCTCTAAAAGCCGCGGTGTTTTGATTCCAGTGATGCCCAGGATGCTATATGCTATAGCTAGCGAGCGACTACATGAGCAGAATTCCACTCTACGATGACAGATTTCATGATGGAAGCACAAATGGAAGCACCTGCTACTCCCGCAACAAACGACGGTGGTGACGAAGACCAACACCCGTGGATCGCTAGCGAGTTAGTGAGCTGAGGAAGTGTTGACAGTGGTGCAGCACTAGTTGGCTAACGTTAGCTATAGCTAGCCACCACACCATAGGATTGACAGGAGCCGCGAGAGCGCAGCATTAGTGTTAGCATTAGTGTTAGCATTGGGGAAATCCTTCCCAGCTGTGCGCAAGCTGTCTGTGAAGCTGAACACACCTCTACCTGCCTCAGCGGCCTGTGAAAGGCTATTTAGCATCGCAGGACTAGTCTTCAGCCCAAGAAGAACGAGACGGAATTCTCGCAATTTTGAAAAACTTCTTTTGAAGATGAACAGGACATTTTTCAGTTTCAAGTAATGACTGGGTTGTTACTTTCGGTGCTGCTTCAGTATTGATCATGTTTTGATATTTGAGTGGATGATCAGATATTTTGTGGATGATCAGATGGAATTATGATGGTAGCAGTCGCCCAATTGCAGATTCAGCTTGAGCAAAACCTTTGCCTATTGTGATCAAATCAGGCCCATAGGAGTTTACAAGGCAGGTGTCCTTTCTCACAACACTGACCTGATGCATCAAGTGGATATTTTTTGCTGAACACAACATTATGCATTTTCCCTCTACATCCTCTAGTCGGAATGAGCATACTTATAAACGCACTGTTACAACTCCTTCATAGTGTCATATTGCTTTACGGAGAATTATGATGATAAGTTCATAGTAGATGCAAAAGTATACTTATGTACAATATATTATGTTGAACATTGTTGCTCCTGGATGGATCACAGCCAACCCAATTATTGTCAACACAGCTCCATGTCCTTGGTCCTGGTGGCCACAGCACTTAAAAGAATAAACTTCATAATTCTGACCCTTTGCTTTTTTATTAACAGCATTTACTTGTACTTTTACTTTCAATACTTAAGTACATTTAAGTATCAAAAGTAATTTTCTGATATTAAGTACAATAAATATCAGATACTTTAAGACTTTTACTCAAGTAGTATTCTAATAGGTGACTTTTACTGGAGTAGTTTTCCAGTAAGGTATCTTTACTTTTACTCAAGTATGGCTTTTGAGTACTTTATACACCACTGTACTTACATATATATTTGTTATTGGGAGTATCAAGCACACGTCTTTCTGAACACTGTACTTCCTATAATTACTGAATCCTACTCATCCCTTTGGTTGCCCTTCTCTCTAGGACCTGGTGGACTCCGATGCTCTGCTGGATGAGGATGACTTGAAGAAGCCAGACCCAGCTTCTCTTAAAGCACCCACGTGTGGAGAAGGAGCCACCAAGAAGAAAGCCTGCAAGAACTGGTGAGTTCACCCAACAGCTGTTATTTAAACCTTTAGGCCAAAGCATGCTGTGGGTCTGTTGGGTCGCAGCTCGATAACATTAGAAAGCTTTATTAATCCCCAGTAGGGAAACTCATTTGCAACCAAATCAATGCATACGGACAGTAAAGAGTTTCCACCGTGCACAACAGACAGAAAACACGCTACAACAGAAGGAGCCGGGCTTTCAAATTTTTTTTTACATTTAGTACATTTATCTGAGCTTAGGAAAGCATTTAATATAAAAATGTTGCACCTGTGTGCAGCACGTGTGGTCTTGCTGAGGAGCTGGAGGAAAGTAAAGGAAACCAGAAGACTAATCTACCAAAATCAGCCTGTGGAAGTGTGAGTATATTTAGTTATATGTTCACTCCATATCTCCTCTTCCTAACAGAAGAAATAACAATTTCAATGATTTCTACTTGTGGCAGTGTTACCTCGGCGATGCGTTCCGATGTGCCAGCTGCCCGTACATGGGGATGCCAGCGTTTAAACCGGGGGAGAAGATCGTGCTGGACAAGAAGACGCTGACAGACGCTTAAAACACTGGACTTCACACATGCTACCCCCGCTCAACATTTTACATTCCTTTTCTTTTCCCCATCCACCCCGGAGACACTTTCTGCCCGTTTGTCCACTCAGTGAGACACTTCTGCTTTGAAATTACAACTGGTTTCCTCTGGGATTCACCAGTGCAGATTGTGATGCCTTTGACTCCTGCTGTTGTCAATTATGAATGATATTTTTGAGTTTCATTTTAATACAATAAACTAAAGCGAGACTTCTGTTTATAGGCAACACATTTATTTAACCGAACATGGCCAATAGTCCCCAGATGTTACATTCTCATATATCAACATTTCAGTAACACATTTTGGCTTTGCGACGCAGGTGACCGGTTCTTTTTCTTTTTCCCCTAATTGCAAACTGACCCACAGAACATCTATCAGCCAGTTAGTGACACACACATTTTGAATTTGTTGAATCATTTATTGTACAATTGCTACCTGCTTTTGGGAAGCCCTGAATGTCATGTTTCAGATAGTGAGTCAGAACAATAACACCATATTGGCCGAACCACAGATGTTAAAATGTGCATTCGATATAAAAAAATAAAAACGGCGACATGAGGTAAAGGCACATTACTCGAGAGTCAGTTCATCACTGTTCCTCCACGCTGAAGTCCATCTTAATGTCTCCCAGACCGGGTTCAAAGGTGAAGCTGTAAGACACTGCGGCTCTGCCGTCGTCTGAGCTCTCACACGGCGACTTGAGAAAATACACTCCCTGTTTCCTGTGTCGACTCCACTCGCACTCGCCCTGTGAGGAAGGCACAGAAAAAACATTGTCAAAAAAACAATTGACGCAATTGGTTTGACGGTTAAAGACAGACAACTAAGGCTGTTAAGGAGATGTGGATACCTGCTCACTGATTGGTCCAATCAGACCTGCAGTGACAGTGATGTCAGCGGTGAGGTGATATTCCATCCACAGCGCGACACCATGGCAACGACCATTCCTGAAACACATTCAAACAGGCTGTTTAACTCTACTGTAACCCTTAGACCAGGGCTCACTAATAGGCGGACCAGGGTCCGGATCCGCACCCAGACGCCGTGGTATCTGGACCCTGGACTTATAACCGATGGATAATTGAGAATTATTTAATTTTTACGGAGCGCTTCTATTTTAACCGGCGCAGCTTTTCCAGCCTTTACTGCCCTTATTCAGCGGTCCAGGAAGCACACAGACTTCTCCAAACAGAGGAAAGTGGACTGAGAGACCAGAGTCTTCAACCAAGAATGGACACTCTTATATGTTCATTCAAAACCAGTATGTCTCATATATATTGAGACGTGGCGCTCCACTACGAGACAAAGCACAAGTCTTTTTAGTAAACGTACCCACTCACATCCGAAATAAAGTCACAGAAAATAAACAATCTAAGAGCCCAATATGATCAGAATCCTAACACATGAATTCACTGTCCAACAATAATGTTGAGAGGAAACAAGTGGTTTAATAACCACAGATAAAGTCCAAAGTCCACAACGTTCTCTTTTTAGAAGATGAGGATAATATAATATTCACACTGAATGAACTGAAGCTGCAGGACAATTCAGTTATATTAATTTTTCTAAAATGAAGTACTATAGTATTTATTATTTATAATTCATCCAGTTAAAATTGAAAACTGACAATAAATATTGTTGAGGTATTATTCAATTGAACTTTCTTTATTTTGAAGTGTCAGTTGTTGTCTACTGTTTACCTAAATAATTATGGCACTAAATCAAGTTAGACATTATTGTGATGTTCCAGATGTTTGCATGAGGAAATTCTCTCTAACTGGACCTCCTTGAATTATAATTGAATACCCCTGCCTGAGAATAAGCCAGCTTTCATACTTTGGTATGTGGTTCCTGGGAAAACTCAGTACCTTATGAACGGCAGCGAGCCCTGACTGCTGATTGGCTGTTGAGGGATACACCGGGTGAAGTCGAAGGTCATGGCCGCTGTGGACCGGGTCAGAGCGCGACATGGGTACTCCCAGAGAGGGTGGGGCTCCGCCTCACGGGACTCACGGAAATCCAGAGATCTCTGTGGGGGATGGATGTGGAGAGTTATGTTTTTAAAGAATTATTTTCAAAAACATACATGATTTAAAAAACACAGAAACTCATAACAGGCCCTTTAAACTTCAGCTACACATCACGGATATAAAATGTCTCCTCACCAGTGTTCAAACCATAAATAATAGGATGCGTCCCCTTCTATGTCCTCATTTGTGTTGGGGACATTGGGCCTCATTCAAAAAGAGGGTTTACTCACAAATCTGTACATAAACAGCGCGTATGAATGTTAATATTTCAATTGAAGGCATCTTATAATAAAACTCCTTTTAAAAGTCTTTAATGGACAACAATATTTAAAATCGTTAATTCACTTAATTTAATGCCTTTTTATCCTCAGCAATTGTTATTAAAAATATATTAAACAATATGAAGCTTTGAACTTCTGTTGTATATTTTATGAGGTTTTTTTGACCGCAGTAAAAACGTTTTTGAATAGCTAAATGCCAACAAATGTGGGCTGAAGCTGAAATATTTCATCAGATAAAAACAAGTTCTGAGTTTTGAAACTTTTATCTTTTTTCAATACAATTCGACAAATAGTACAACACTAGTTATGTTAGTATTCTCCGTTTGAATCATGCTCCTACTTAAAACCACAGACATCTTGTGCAGATCAACACGCAGGTGTACACGTTGAACTTAATTACACAAACAAAAACTATAAAGCTCTCTGTCATGAATTCTATTTTATAGTTTCCCGATTAAGACATTTCTTCTCCATGATGAAAATATACACCGTCTGTACCTGAAGATTTTACTAGATGTAAAAAGAAAATGACAGAAATTCATAAATAAAACTTTTACCTGGACCATTTCATCCATGGGTGAGACATTAAAGCCCTCACATGTTCCACACGGAGCTCTTATCCTCCACAAATCCTAAGAAACACAGAAAAGACAACTAATTCAAAAAATAATGCATATTCCTTTATGCCTCTTTCTTTAAATCGTAGACGTAATTAAAAAAAACATTTATATGTATAAATATATTCCCGTCTCTCTCACCTGGAACTCTACAGCCACCATGTGAAGTGTGGCAGAGCAGGGCAGGATGGTGGCGTTGGGCCGGAGGAGGCCTGCCAGGGCGGTCCGACAGTACCAGAAGAACAGGGAGTGCCAGGGCAGGAGGCTGGTGCTGAAGTACGGTTCACCCATCAGGACAGAGATCTGGAGAGGAAGCTTTTCACTCAATCCACTGGGATACACATTTCTGAATCCTACAAAATACATTTGAGTGAGATTTTTGGCTTTAAAAGCTATCAGATGGTTTGAATTCCACAAATGTTCAGATGATCAATTGGAGAGCAAAGAGTTAAAGCAGCATTACCAGTTAGTTTTTTGGCCACTTGGGGGCAGTAGAGCAAGTTGATGATGTTCGTGAGAGCAGTGAGCTCCACAGACGGCGCACAAGCTACGAACACGCTCATGCTCAACGTGCTTTTTGTTGCATAATAATCAAAAAAGCTGACGCCCTAGCTACAAATATTCAGAACTTTTTGGAGCTTTTTTTCACTCGCGATGACATTTTCTGGCGCATGCACCTCACCCACTGCGAGCACAAACCAAGCTTGAATGTAAAGCGGCCTTGAAAACCAAAACAATGAGCTAAAAGATGCTAAAACACTCTGTTTTAGCATCTGACGGGAACATCAGAGTTGGTGATAATTCAACAAGCGACAATATTTGTACTCTACGTAATCATTTGTATTTTATAAATTATAAACATTTTGACTATGGAAAAAGACACTGTAGCGCCACTATAAGCTTGTTCAAAAGGTACCTGCTCCCCTCCGAGATCATCATTGGTCAGCTGCTCCGGCTGGATCTCCAGCAGCTCAACACCTCCTTCCATCGAGTTGGCTTCCAACACCTGCAGAGGGAACATGTGTCACATCGCAGAGTTTTTGTGTTGGTAAAAACCATAAACCTCTCAAAGATGAGGTGGTACAGTCGTGAGTTATTTACCTGCTTAATAACCTGTTTAGACATTCTGGAGTTTTCCAGACCGTAGACCTGGGTAGAGGCCCCAAGAAGAAAAAGACATCAGTAACACAGTATGGTATTTGGTTTAGAAAGGCGCGGCACGGTCAAAGCAGAGTACCTTCTTGGCTCCGATCATGTGAGCGAACACAGGAAGTAGACTTCCATCGCTGACGCCAAGACAGACGCTGTCCTCCCTCATGACCTGGAGTGAACACAACAGGCGATCAGACAACAACAACAACCGTATCCGACAGCTCGGACTCTCGGCGGCCCTCCACTTACGCTGCGCAGCGCGCTGACGTAGCTCTCTGTGCGCCGCCTGTCGTTGAGTTCGCCGAAACGCGGTCGAGTCCAAACCAGGTGGGCTTGGCAGGTACAACAGGGCCGAGTGGGAGGAGCCTCAGCCTGTGAGTCCTGCTGACTGAAGACGGCAACCAGAATAAAACAAAGAAGAAATGAGGGTTTGCAAAACAGGTGCTGCTGTTTTTTGAGCTGTAGGAGATTTAAACAGTGTTTCTAAAGTGAAGCCTCTGAGCTGTTACCTGGGGGACTGCAGGCCGTACCACAGGCTATAGTCGTCATGGCAAACGGTCAGACTCAGCTCCTCCCCCTCTGTCACTCTGCTCTCCGTAGGCAGGAAGTAAAGACTCTGCATCCAGTGGTCCCGCCACTGAAACACATCGCAATGATCAGCAGAGTTTGATAGGAGTCTGACTTAGAACATCAGAGCAGAGCGTGTTTCTCAAAGTCAAATAAGATCAACGGCTGAATTTAGAAGGATGCTTTGTCACTGGATCCCGCTGAATGAGTGTTGTGTTGATGTCTAGGATCATTCCAATTCTAACAAGGGAAGAGTCCTTTTTCCATGATGCATGCAAGTCTCCTCTGCGCTCCTAAAGACACCCACAATGCTACTGTGTGCCCATGATGCATTTCCTGTGCCCTGATTTGGAAACGGTTAATATGCTGGTAGACTTTCAGTTATTTCACCTCAAACTTGTTCAGAGACAGATTTTGGCAATCGGTTTCTGAAAAATTTGAGGTGAGACATTTGCCAATCCAGCCGCTGAATCTTCCCTCATAGTAGATCATCAAAGCCTCATTTAAAGGTTTGATGTGACTTGCATCGCTCAGGAACAGCCTCGTTCACCGAGCAATTAATAGCACTGAGGCTATAAAGTTATAAAGTCAGCATATTTTCACATCTAACTCTAGGAATTAAAACTTTATTTCGACTAAACCAGAGTTAGGGATTGTTGGAAGCGGAAAGAGTTTTATTTAGTTTCTGTTGTGTTTGAATGAAGAGTTTTCTTTTCTTTTACACACCGGCACACGCACTACACTGTTTCAATGTGTGCTTTCTACAATGAAGGACCCGACTTGGAAGGACCCGTCTTACCAACATCCTTGACTTTGAGAAACACCCATAGTGTTCTATAACTCACCGGAGCCGTCTTTGGCTGTGGGTATGTCCAGCTAGGCGCCATGGTGCACACGACGCTTCCACTGGGATCCATGTCTAGGTCCCACCAAGATAAGACGACCTGGGCCCGACCGCTGGCCCGAGCCACAAACTGGGAGGTGCAAGACTGGAATGCGCTACTCACTGGCTTACTAAAATCCACACTGAGAGGGGGGGAGGACAGTGTAGAAGGGAGAGAGTGAAAAACTGATGCTGAGAGAAAAGGATCTAGGAGAAGACGTGTGTCACTCGCGTACCTGAACATGGTGCAGAGGGGACCAAGGGGGGTGAAGCTGCGAGGAGACACCTGGCTCAGCTGGATATCACACACCGAATGAGCTCCGGCACAGTGGCCCATGGCGGGCGGCGGGACCAGGCGGGCCCCCTCCACCTCCACCGGCTGCATCTGAACCCAGCTCCACAGCAGCTCCGACTCCACCAGCTGGGCGTAGACGGTGGCCCGGTGAGGGACCGCCTCACAAGCCTCCTGTAGGGTGGAGGGACACGAGGAGACGGATCAGACAACCAGCTGGGATTAGACATTTCACCTCCACTAGCTGTAGTTTGTTTTATGCATCACTGGATTTAACAAATATTAAAGGACACATGCGATGCTCATTTTCAGGTTCATACTTGTATTTTGGGTTTCTATGTGTTTACATGCTTTAATGCTCAAAAAACTCATTTACTTTTCTCATACCTTCTGTTGGAGTATAAATATAAATCTCTTCACCCTCTGTCTGAAAAGCTCTGTTTTAGCGCTTTTCAACGGAACTGTGTTGCTTAACAACAACTTGGGTCCATGTTTACTTCCTGCAACGGGAAACTGGGACACATTTAGATTGTTTACGTATGAAACTGAAATGGTCTATGTTTGTATAAGTCATATTACATTTTCATAACTAGTTCCCTAGTTGTTGATTAAAAAAAGAAATACTGACTCGGAAAAATCGACCTCCGACTTCTAATGGATTACAGGGCATATGTTGTATAGTTGTGACATCACAACGGTACAGAAATCCTGACTGCGTGTTTAAAGGCACAGCTTCTGAATACGGGCTGTGTGTGTTTCTACATGGATTGATGTTTCGATACCGTCACAGTATTTACACAGCATCTACACCTGCTTTATAATAAAAAAAAAATATGAAAATCTCACTTATTACAACATGGGTCGTTAAACTAAATCTTAAAGTTCATGACCAGTGTAAAACCTACAGATTATGCAAAACACATTGACATATAAATTTACACACACACACCTGGACAAGATTTTGGTGAGCATGTTCATAGCTGGGCAGTGCTCCTTCACCTATCAGCTCTGTATCGAACAGCTCTGTGATCAGAATGTTGGCCTTCATTTGCATATCTCCATCTGCGTTCAATTACAAACACGACACAAAGTTCTGTATAAAATCACAGATACATGCAACTTCAAGTGACCCCAGTATTCATGTAGTGCAGAAGCAGTGTGTGACCTGGCCCCACGGTGACATCAGTAGAGTGTCTGTTGATGATCTTGATCTTTTCTGAGAAGCCGTTCTTCTCCACAATGCACTGCGCTGCCTCAGCCGTAGGCTTGAAAACCTGCCGACACAAAGGAGACACAGGAGACTCCTGAGGCAGTCTGGGAAACGCTGCAAATCATGTGAAGGTAACAAGGAAGCAGGGTAATTAAGCACACCTGCTAGAATTTCTGAGAGCCAGTGTGAATATGCTAGACTTAAAAATAAATACTTTCATTTCATAAAAAACACCCATAGCACAGAGCATCAAGGCATTCTCCAACAGCTTGTTCTGTGTTTTAAAGCTGTCGTGGTGTTTTTCGGTACATGCAAATTGTGTCGTCTTATAAACTGAAGAGTTTTTGCTGACCTCCAATGGTTCACCTTCTCTCCTTACTACAGTGATGTACAGGTGTCCTTTAGGACTCCATGACATCACCGATGGCTGTAGGGACGCTCCCCGGAACCCGGCTCTAAACGGGAACCGGTTACAAATTTGTAAAAACCCGGAGTATTGACATGGTTCGGAGTTAACGGTCCTATTATCGGTACTTTAAAAAGTTACAGAGTGAGATCTCATCGTCTCTAACCTCCTCTCTCTGTCGCTGTGTCTTTGCACGAGAGGCGGAGCCGTGCTTTACCTTGACACACACACACACAGACTCCGGATCAGTACAGCGTCACATCATGGTAGAGAGAAGAAAAGGATCCGTGTGGCTACATTTTACTCCAGTAGATGCTGAGAACTCTAGTTGTATCAAATGCAACAAAACCCTCACAAGTAATGGAGGTAACACCAGCAGTTCACCACAACATGTGACCAAGAAGCAGAACAGAAATGCACAGCTTTCTACCGCTTGTCGAGCAGCCGCTTAACGTTAGCGATGCCATACGGAGTTTGTTCGTAAGAACAGGCTAATCAATGAAAGCAAATCACTTAACTTATTGTTTGGCTGCGAATGTAAACTAAAGATTTTGGAACTTCTTGTATTAAAGCTCAAGTTTATATACAAGAATAATAAAGCAACATTAAATCTTTTCCTAATTAATTGTCTTTTTTTCTCACAAAATTCTAAAAAAGAACCGATAAGGAACTGAACCGATAAGCACAATTAATAAGAGTACTCGTATGGATAAAATCCTAACGATACCCGTCACTAGATGGGTGGGGTTACAGGTGCAACAGAGCACACCTCTGACCCAAACAGGCCTGAACCTTTCAACCAGAAAGCACAGTAAAACACTGCTTTTCAGCCTGGTGGTATCAAGTTACTTTTTAAAAGAACTTTTCAAAGATTACACATATCTTTTATGAGTAGATACTGCACAGTATAAATGGGGGGGTAGTAGGGCATCTCTACCTCCACAGCGTAGCAGAAGTCCGCTCCAGCAGTGACGGCCATCATGGACAGTAGGCCTGTTCCCGTCCCGATGTCCAGGACGATGACCCTCTCACCGCGAGCCTTTACTCTGGCTACAGCAGCCCGGATGCCCTGGTAGTACTTCTTATTCTGGAGGCAGAAAGGACATCAGCTGTGTCAATGCAGAAGAAGAGCGAGAACACTATGCAGAGGGATTTAGTAAAGTCAGTGTGTGTGGTGCCTCATCCCGTTTGTTTTCTTTCTTTTGTTCTAGAAAAGACACGACTCACTGGAGCATAAACAGAGTATATCAAAAGTGTGTTCACTAGGGTTGCCCCCTCTTAGTCTATAAGTCGACTAAAGCGTAGTTGATACTCAACGTAGTGAAGCCGGCACGAAAATGACCGAATCGCGGCCTGCGCGTCGTGAGCAGAGTGTCAGCAAGAGGTTGCCGCACTTGGTTGTGCACTTTACAATTTTTGTAACACGGTGCCCACAATCATGTGACTGTCACAAATAGTTCACTGATTAAAACACTATTTACATGTCTGGGGATTATGCAAAGAAGGCCAATTCCTGTTTAGATGATTTAGAAGCAGGAGGTCTTAAAAATCTTCATTTGAGAAAATATTTTGCAGCCAAATCAAATAGTTTACAGGATATTCAACCTTTGTTTCTTTATAATGCATGTAATACCTGACTTCTTTAATTACAGGGCCTGTACAAAGGCAATAAAGTAGTCCATGAGTACGAGTTTACAGCACTGTGGAGCTTGGTTTATGGCTTTTTGCCAGTTACACCTACAGTCGATGAGTTACTCGCCATTTGATTCTTCACAGTACATTTTGTTGTCCCTCTGGCATTTCAGAGAATAATGCAAAGAACAGCTCGTTGAGCATAACCGTTTCTGTTCATGCTCGGAGCCCACGCGCCATCTGCAGAGGCTCGCACTACGGTGCCAAGTACGAGTATAAACAGAGCTTTAGTCTACTAAAACCAAAATGACAGATTCAGCGTTGTTTATCCTCGCGCTTAGCACCGTAGGTTATTAAGACCCCCTGTTTCTTAAGACCCCCTGTTTCTTAAGAATCTCAAAACGAATTGGCCTATTTTGTATAATCCTACACATGTAAATAGTGTTTTTATCAGTGAACTATTTGAGACAGTCACGTAATCGCACGCCAAGTTACAAAAATCCAGAAGCGCACGGCCGAGCTCTGCGACCACTCGCCGACCGTGATTACGTCATTTTCTGGCGCTTATCAGCATTATGCAGCTTCACTACGAAGAGTATCAACAAAGATTTTTTGAAAGTCGGTTTTTCAAGCATTTTTTAATCTTTCAATCTTGTCAATTAAAAATGTCTGTATTCGAGGACAGCCCTAATGTACACCCCCAGTTTCACAATGTGTTTTTTATTATTATCATTAGGGGTGGGAAAAAAAATCGATACAGCATAGTATCACGATATTTTGCGTGGCGATATTGTATCGATACATGGACGCCAAGTATTGATCTTTAATCATATAAACTATTAACAGCGCATAACTGTCTCTCTGCCCTTGAGGTCCACGCATCGCAAGTTATACTGAGTTATATAACTCTTATATCCTACTTATATAAGTTATAGTTCATATACTGAGTCCACACGTTTGCATTTAGTTAAGTTGGACTATGTAGTAATACAAACAGTTCAGTTTGTCAGGTGCAATATTTATGACATTGTTGGTCAGTCTGTCTGCTTGACAATCCTATTTTGCTGCAATAAAAATGATTGAAGTGACATGAACAGACTGAAAACTTTATCTTATTAGATAAAACATGTTGACAGTTTTCCTTTGGGGACATAATTTGAAGTTGAAAAAAGTAATAAATCGCAATATCGTGATAATATCGTATCGTGACCCAAGTATCACGATAATATCGTATCGCGGGATCTCTGGTGATTCCCACCCCTAATTATCATCAAGTAAGTATATAAAGAAGGCCTCCCATCAAGCAACAGTCTCATTTAACATATAAACCACATATTAGGAAATAACGTCATTTCCACAGCAAACAAACGTGGTCATGTGAGACATATTTATGGATGACTCACCCTGTCATGGTCATGTAGCATATCAGCGTAACAGGACCTAAAAGATAAACAGGACAACAGAGTCACATGGACCAGTGTTGGTATTATTGATGCTTTTGTTTTAAATTACTTGTAGCTGACTTTCTATTTATTATTATTAATATCAATATTAGCCCAAGGCACTGTTAGACAAATACGAAACACATAAACTCTGATAGGTTGTTTTTAACAATGGGTGAATTGGAATTAAACTTCTTCAGATTCCTTGTGGTCTGTGGAAGAATTCAGGATGAGGTTTCAAAACAAATCTCTATATTGGGATTTAATAACTTGTAACTGATGCATCACAATCGGTCACAATCATGTTGGCCGATAACTAACAGGAGATGTCAGTAAGATGAGAAAAGCCTGCTTGAGAAATAAACAAAAGATAAGATTAGACATATAAATCTAGCAACAATAAAAGAGCTATACAAAGACAATGTTGCGATGTGAGTGATATGGCATGATTAATAGCAGTGATAATAAAGCATAGTTTATACGTCAACAGTGCACATCAGTATAATATGTACTATAATTAAGTAGTGACTTAGTGTTGTCTGTGTTGATATAGAATACAAATAGAAATACAATAATATTATCTGATGAGGAAAGACATATCAACATCAAACATATCAACATAGTATAGTCTGATATAGTACATACAGTGCAGTATAGTTGTAGGTGTAATATAATAGTAGTAATAGCACAGTACATAAATGCTCAAGCTTATTTTATAACTGTAAAATGTCCTGCTCAGTCATTACAGTGTCTTGGTCACAAGTGCATAGTGCAGATATTAACGCAATTACACGAAGAATACATGAATACTAAACAAACATGAACCTATGAAAGTAAATACTTGTAAGAACTCGATGTGAAAAAATGTCAACGTTAAGTTGGCTTCCTTGTTGACAAAGGCACGCGCTCATCCTCGAGATTATATATGGGGTTCTAAACTCAGCAACTCTCAGGAAACCGCAAACAACACACCATTCAAACGTGTGCTGTGATGCTAGGCTCGGAGCTAACATTAGCGTTACCTGGCTATCTCCTGGTGGTAGTCGTACTCCTCACTCTCCTCCACCCAGTCTAAAGCTCCAGTGCTCGGGTTGGCTCTTCCACAGAAGGTCTTCATTTCTGCCAAAACTGTTACAACACTCCGGTTGTTGTTTTTTAACAGAATATTGTACAAAGGTCTAAAAGTAAGTTGCACTACTGATGCAGCGTTGGACCAATGGAGGTCGCCATCTTTCCCAGCAACGTCACACTCTTTAGGTTACATGCAACGAATCTCACATTACCTCGTACGAGATGGACTGTTTCTCGCATGGAAAGTAGACGAGAGCAGGCGGTAGAAGCAGGGGGCGTTGAAAAAAAGTAATTGCGGTCAATACGAACAGTTTTCAGCCGCCTTCGAAGTATAAACAGGAAGTCACAGAAACAGTTACTTCCGGTTAGATCCGATCTGTAGGCTACTTGTAGTTTAGTTTAGTTTTGATATGTGTTGTATAAATAAGCTTTATTATCATCAATCACACAAGATATGTTTTCAGATTAAACCTTCGCTGCACAACATGCGACTAATAGCCAACAATCGAGCATTAAATATTACAGTTACACAGAAAATTAGGATTTTCTACAAAACGTGGTGTTTGTTGTCAAATCTAACAGCCAATCAGCTCTTTGATCCGGTGACAGCCAGGCGTTTCCCACCATGCCCTGGGTCATGCAGTCGGTGGAGAGCAACTGCAGCGCCTGGCTCGAAAAACTGCGGCCGCCTCGCTCTAGTGAGGTCATCGTTGACCACGTGCATGACGTCAGAGCAAGTCACAGAGCACGTTGTGCGCCGATCGATTCTGTGCAGGACTGGTTTATCTCAAACGAGCATAATCTGATCTCTGACTGCAGGTTCTTTGATGATGTAGATTTGTACATTATATAGTATCGATGCCTCCATGGATTTAATCACAACTGGACCTCTCCAGAGTTATTACTGAAAAACTGTCAAAAACCATTCAGTTTAATCTAACGTGAAAACAAGGAGTTCTCACAAGCAGAAAAAAATCCGCCATAAAGACACAGCAACAAGCACTATGAATACATCACAAACACAAGCCAACCTGGAGGTCAATTGTACTACTCACCTACTTATTGAAACCTTTTTTAAAAAGGATGATGGCAAAACAGTGCACTGTTGAAAACAGGCACTGCAGATGACGCCACCGAAGTTCTCCTGGCAGAACTGCTATTGAACATTATTATCAGTCTTTAACAGACACAAAACAAAGGTGTGTGAAGAAAATTTGAGTGTGGAGGAGACAGTTACAAAAGCTTTTTCAGATGTCCTGAACGTCCAAGACCCAGAGCAGTGTGCCAGCTCAGAAAGCTTGGCAAAGTTGATCAGTGCAGAGGTATCAGTCAGTGTGAGATCAGATCTGCCCTCTTCACTGCTGAGTAACCTGTAATTATTCAACACTTCACTGACCTCCGCAGGCTCAACACAATGGTTCGTAATACCATCAAAATGTTACAAGCATTCACAGCCAAAATGAAAACCAAGTTCTCACCCCGCACACGTAGGCAGAGAAGAAAACCGACGGCTCTCAGGAAGAACGGGATGGTATGGAGACGTCAGGTGATGACCGCTCTCATTCACCATTGCTATTTGTGGAACTAGAAGGCTCAGAACCTGATGACCGCTCTCAGTCACTGGATACTGGATATCATCATCCAATGTGATTGAGTTCAAAACAATACATTCTGTCAAAGACATAATTGCTGAAAGACATCATGGATGGAAATACGGTTTGTGTGTTTCCCATGTTCCAGAACATTTCAGATTTTTTTACATTCTAAGTAACAAGAATTAAAACTCTGTATCCTGTCTAGAGATGTAACCATTTGTAATAAGGTACTGAAAAAAACGCTTAAGCTTATACTGTCTGACCTTTGTGAGCTGGTGGTGTAACGGTGCTCTGACCTTTGTGAGCTGGCGGAGTAACGGTGCTCTGACCTTTGTGAGCTGGCGGAGTAACGGTGCTCTGACCTTTGTGACCTGGCGGAGTAATG